CACACACACACACACGTTCTCTAGTCAAGAAGGATGTGGCTTTAATTCGGTCACAAACCATGGAGGGAACAAGCAGGTTTTCTGGCGGCAGCCTTACTACTTTTCAAGAAACTGGGGAAATATTCCTCCAGGAGTCGTTAGACTGATCGAGTCATCTGTAAGCAGAGTTAGGCTTCTAATGCCATGCTGAAAATTTCTGCTGCCTGGGCTGCATAGTCTTGTTTTACTGACTGTCAAATAAAAATTGAAGAGCAGCGCTGTTCTGATGTGGGAAATGTATCTCTCTTTCTTTTTATTTCAGCTACCAAATTTGTGAGTTTATGTATGAACGGGAGCATCACTATGACCGAATTATTGATTGTTACCTGTGTGATCCAGTGAGAAAGGTGGGTTCAGAGCAGAAGGTTTAACCTTTCTTCACTCAAGAACATCAGGGTTTTGGGGGGGTTTTCCCCCTCCCTCTCACCACATTCACCACATACACAATTCCTATCTGTGCTTTTGAGAGCAGACAACACCTCACCCCCCTCTGTCACACTTCTCTGGTTTAAAACCTTTTTCATCCTGGTTGATTCTTTTTTGGGTGGTTGACTGAACAATCGCTACTGTAGTCATGGCCTGAATTAAGTTCCACACAGCTCCCTGCCCTCATCTGTAACTTGAACAGCAGTACATAAATCTGAGGTTGGGTTTCCTCCTGAGCCTGGCTTGTTTTTGGAGTTTCTTACCATATTTCTTTTGTGTCTCTGACCTTATTATTCCCCTTACCAGAGGCTTTCAATCCCCTTGTGTTTTTTTTGGCTGGGGTATAAATCCTTGCTGCTAGGTAAGCAGCAATACCTCTGATTTTTCAGAAGTGAGGCTTTATGATACCATTTTATTGGGCCAACTGTACAGGTGGGAGAGTTGTTGGACAGCCTTTTGGGCATCAGGTGCCCTTCCTCTTGAAGGCTGGTACAATACTCCAAATGTGCTTTTTTTTTTTTTTTTTAAATGCAGTGCTCTCTGCCCTAATGATGGAAGGACATGGCAGAGGAGCCCTGCATCTCTCTTTCTCTCTCTCCCCCTCCCCCCACCTTCTCCCCCTTGGGGTTTTATAGCTGATCTCACTACACTTCTAAGGCCAGGAGGTTGAAAGTTATGAGAGTGAGGGGGAGAAAAGCAGAAGAATTAAGAGGAGTTGGTAACAGAGGTGTAACCAACAGAAGGGCTGGATGATGTGTGGAAGTGAAGGAGACGGGGTGAACTGCTGAGACCAGTGCTGTAGAGAATGTGAACACTAGTAGGGAAAGGGGGGCCAGAGTGGAAGAGCTTGGAGAGGACTGGCCTTCCCTCCACAGTGGTGCTATCTTTTCTCCTCTCCTCTGCTCTCTTGACTCCAGGGATCAAGCTTTGTCCTTGCTGTGCAGGAGTAGGGAAAGAGATGATGACTCCAAAAATGGCAGGAGTCCAAGCCCATCTTTTTGCCAGATCTCATCCTGTCTCTCTTTTGCTGCCAGTTCTGTTACTCCTCTTAATTTTCCTTTAGAAGCTGTCTAGGTTCATATGATAACTGTTGCTGGTGATGTTCTCACTTGTGTTCATTGGCTCAGGTACTGAAAAGGGCTAGCCTTAGGGCTGCTTTTGATATATGCTCCTCCTAATGTTGTTAGTTGAGCTGTTTAAAAAGAACAGCCAAGGAGTCTGACCTTATCTTCATGTCTAACAACTAAGAAAAAGGAATAAAAATCCAGTTCACTGGTAGACTGAAAATGATTGTGTTCAAATAAACCAGAGCTTGCAAGCTGTCTTCTGTTCTTCTGAGAAGTTAATTGCCAGTTGGTGGGACAAGAACCTATGACACCTTTTTGTCAATTTTTTTATGCTTTTCAGGAAGACGTTTTCAACTACATCCACAATATTTTGTCCATTCCTGGATACAGCACAGAGGAGAAGCATTCAGTGTGGCAGAAAGCTCTGGAACATATGGAGGTACAGAATACGCTGAATTGATGGCATTTCTGAATTTTAGCACCTCATGCTGTTTTGGAGGAGAGAGCATGTCCATCTCTGAAATGGCATAGCTGTTTGGTAGGAGAGGAGTAGTGTTGCAAAGGGGGAGCTTGCAGTTGCTGTACATTTTACCATACTGTGTATGTATATCTTCAGTGTATGTATGGGCCAAATACTACTCCACTGATTAGGTGCAGAAATGGACTTGGCCACTGTGGTTCCACCCTACTGCACCCTGCTAGAGTCCAGGGAAAACTCGATGCAAAAGATGGGTGAGTTGTCCATGTCTGCTACTTTTTGTGACTTAACACACAGTCATCTTAGCCTTAAGATTACCAAAGTAGATGAGTAAATGGCTTTTCATGCACTCAAGAAGGGTGGAGTTGGATCACACTTAGATGCTGAATAGGGTCTGGCCCATAGTGCTTATCTACTGTGCTATACATCCAAGCCCACAAAGACATACCACTGTCATACTTCCTTCACACTCCCTACGTGTGGTCTGCGTAGTTCTTTGCAGACAGCATAGAGACCATATGCAAAGACCTCTTATAGAAAGAAAGACCACACTCAAGCTCATTTTCATGAAAATGTTGCTGGGTTTATTGCTCACAAAGCACAGCACAAACATTCCCAGGTCATCAGGGTGTTCTTGTACTGTCTGCCTATGACAGTGGTCTGTCATTAATCTGTATGCTCCATCAAGCCAGTACAAGGTTCAGATTTTTCCAGCTTCCCCTTCTATACAGACCAACCCACATTACTAACCAAAACAACTTGATTAGGAGCTGTGCATTTAGGAAAAAACATGTTTTGAAGAAGCTGCCTATTACATTCCTCTATTATCTTGGATCATCCTGTACCTGTCATGCATCCTGATCTGTGTTCCTGTTCTTCCTTCATTATACAAATATTTCACCGTTCTTGCTTGAGACATTTGACTTAAGCTGCCTTCCTAGCAGCAGTACACATCTTGTATCATTCTCTGTTATCTTGTACCAGTCTCTTACATGTATATTCCAGTCTAAGCTTGTGTAAGGAGCTCTAGTGAGACCTACTCTGGTCAGTGCCTAGCCAAGCCTTTCTGTGAGTAATATGTGCACTAATCAATGCTTGTTATAAATACTGCTCCAGCACAATGAATCAATACCTTATGCTGGAGATGTCCCTGAAGAGGGGCTCCCTCCTGTGAGGTTCTTATATCAGAATAGGTTCTCTTTGCTGGAGAAGAGGGTTCTGCCACATATGCTGTGGGGGTGGGGGATCCCTCTTGCACTGTATACAGCCCAACTTGATGCCTTCGTTATTTGTTAAGTATGGAGGTGGGGAACTTCCAGAGCTGTGACAACGTGCCCTGCTCTTGGTGCTCACTTGGCACCAATCTCTTGTATGTCATTTGGCAATGAAGGGTCAACGCTATCTTTTCTCACCCCATTGTATTAATATCCCTGGAGGTCCTAGCTGAGGTATTCCACCTGTCAAGGTTATGGTGCCATTAGGGGACCTCATAGGTATTTGGGCTGTTGTGAGTCTGCCCTTGTCTCAGGGGTGTGCTCCCTTTTGAACTCACTGATGAAAATGCCCTCCATTTTTGGGAGCAGTTGCTTCAGTGAAGAGAGCAGGAGCATCTAAACTAATAATACTCTCCCTGTACTATCTTTTACCTGGGTAATGTGTCCGAATGCATTCCAAATTCCTGCCAGCAGTTTCTTCCAAACTATATTTACCGATGATATAATTACAAAGCTGAAAAACTTTTCTCCCTCCGTCCATTATTTTCATAATTATCTGGTAGGTTTGTAAAATCTTCCTTTTAAACTAAGTAAAGCATTTATTTTCCATAAGAATCGTGTATCAAATTTCAGTTTACAATGGCCTTTTTCAGGGTTTTTTTTTTTAGAATTCAAGAGTTTTAACTTTTCCCCTTCCAGGTTGTTATTTTGGAAGTAAGTTCTTT